CTACACGCGCCGCGCCAAGCCCTCTGCACGCGGCCTACCTATCTCCGTCTGTTTATCTCCGTCTTTCTTCCTCTGAGGCGCCTTTCTCTTTTTTTGTCCCGGGAAAAAATAAACGGTGGCTGTGCGCGTTGTAAGTCTGCGGCCGAGCGCCGCTCGGCTCCCCGATTGGCGCGGCTTGGCGCTTGGCGCCTGCAGACCACAGCGCTGCAACCCGCTGGGCACGCCTGTCGGGCACGCGGCCTACCTCCGGGCTCGCAGGCGCCAGGCCAGGCCGCCAGCCGCCACCGCCAGCAGACCGACTCCGAGAGACGTTTTCGTCGCTGTCTCTCTCGCTCTCAAAGGGGACGCTCCGTGAGTGCGAGAGAGACAGAGCGACGAAAACGACTCAGGGACGCAGTCTGCAGGGCCTGCACCGCGTCCCGCCCTGCGGTCGCTGAAACGGGCCGGCCGGCTTACGCTGCAACAGCTCTCTCTCTCTCTCTCTCTCTCTCTCTCTCTCTCTCTCTCTCTCTCTCTCTCTCGTCTCGCTTTTGGAGAAAGAGAACGCGACGCACTGCAGCGGCCTTTGAGGGGCGTGACGAAGACGAGGAGGAAGCGTGTCATAAATACTTAATTCGTAATCGGCAGCAGGCGGCGGGCGGCGGGCGCGTGCCGGCCGGCGGGCTGCATCCCTCCCGAGCCGGCCCTCTTTATTTCATTTTGTTTTTCCTTTCTTCGCTTTTTCTTTTCTGAACTTGGCGGCCAGGTGCAGCCGAGGCTCGCTCGGCCCGCCCGACTGGACTGCGCTGCGATTCCCGCGGCCGACTTGAGACGCCGCCAACGCGTCGGACCTCCTCATAATAAAGTCTCTCTCCCTCTCTCTGCCTCTCTCTCTGCCTCTCTCCCTTCCTCGCTGCTCGGCCGCCCCTGCCCCATCACGGCTTCATAATGAATCTCTCTCTCCTTCTCTCTCGGTGACACACCCCGGGCGGCGGGGCCCTTGGCGGGCCAGCCGCGGGCAGACGCAGCAGTTTACTGAAAGGTGCGGGGCCACACCGCAGGCCTCCTCGCCTCGGGCACGGCCCTCTTGGCCTGCTTCTTTTCCTCCGTCTCCGTGGCCGCGGGCACCGCGGGCGCCACGGGCCTGATCCCCCGCGCCAGCGCCGCCGGCCCCGCCGTCGACGGGGACTCCGCCTTTGTCGCGACGTCGTAAATGTCCGCTGTTTAGACAAACAGTGAAACAATTAAGCAGGCCTGAATACCGTCGTCGTCGCCGTCCTGGCGGCCCGGCGGCCTGGCGGGGTGCGGCGCGGAGTGGCGACAATGGAGCAATCGAGCGCTTGTTGTGTTTGCTTCGGGCATTTATTGTCCGAACGGGTGTCGACACAATGCAGTGTCTTGTGTGCGTGCGCTTTAAAGGAAAATTAGAGGGGAAGGAGGGGGAGGGGGGCGTCCTACCACAACCACCGGGAGGCCCCACCCCTTCCGCGAGGTCCAATAAAAACGTCACGCTGCAAATTTTATACACCTCCCTGGCATCAGCTCACATTTCCCATTTATGTGACAAGCACATAGGCCCCCCGCGGCCCCGCGGCCCGGGGGCCCGTGAGCAGGGCAGGGCGGCAGGGCGCGGCGCGCTGAAGGTCGTCGCCGAGGGCCCCAAGGCCGCCAAGGGCGTCAGGCAGACAGGCCCCGATCAGTCAGCATTGGTATTCGTGCCCATTCCTCGGATATCCACGCCGTGTCGACAGGCCGAGCTGCTGATGCCTCGCCCCGCGCCTCCAACGAGGTCGGCCAAGGCCGTCAAAATAAATTCCCCGAAATTGCAATGCCGCGCGGCGCCTTTTCGGCGCGTGACATTTATGCCAGGCCACGCTCGCCGCGCGGCCAGGCTGTCAGACGCGTATGTGCTGTGGCCGTGTGTTCGAGTCCCGCTGCTGCTGGCCAATTTTTGTTTTCTTTTATTTCCGCGTTTTTGGTTTTTTTTTTCTGCGTTCACACAATGCTCTCGCGTAAAGAACGGACGCTCTTTTACCCCACAGACAACGCATTGCTCCCCTGGAGGGTGACCGGGCGCCACGCTGGCGTCCTCGCCGGTGGCCGTGCCGGTGGCCGTGCTGGTGGCCGTGCCGGTGGCCGTGCTGTTGGCCGTGCTGGTGGCTTTGCTGGTGGCTGTGCTGGTGGCCGTGCCGGTGGCCGTGCCGGTGGCCGTGCTGGTGGCCGTGCTGGTGGCCGTGCTGGCGGCGGTTAGCGACCCGTTTGCCGATCATAATGCAGTCATTAAAAGTGAATTGTGCAATGAAGGCCCGGCGAGCACCGCGCCGGCCGTGGCGGCGTGGCGGCCTCGGTGCCCGGACGCCTGGTTAATGAATACTGGCGGAAGTAATGGGCCTCTCTTCTCGTTAAAACGTCCCGTGATGCACCGCCGCTGCGCCGCTGCAGCGCGCGCCGCGTTGTCGCTCCGCGTCGCCCCTTTCTCATTAGCAGCCCCGCGCGCATCATTATCGCTCTGATTGAGTTTCCGAACGGTTATTCTTTCGGGGGTCCTCTTCCGGAAAATGGACGGTTCTTTTTGGTTCGTGCCCTCGGCCTTCGGCTGCTTGACTCCTAGCCGCCTCGGCTCGGCCCACGGCCCCGGCACGGCGGGTTGATCCTGTAAGCCGACAGCCGAGACTCCCCCGTCGCGAGAAGGCACCAAGACTTCGAGCGCGGCGGAGCGGCGAGCCTGGAGCCCCTTACAATCCAGGAGGTCACTGTGGAATGACCGGGCCAGGGACGCGCCACTCGCACACTGCACTGGCCGCCTGCATTCCGAAAGCAGTTCTTCGCTGTCTCTCTCGCACGCACGAGGCGTACCAGGGTAAAGAGACCGAGCGGCGCAGCCTGCTTCTCGGGGTCCTCCACTGCCAACGAGACCCGCGGACGGACACTCGTTGGACCGGGAAACTCGACGGCTTCCTGGCTTGCCACCGCTCGCCTCGCTCCTCGCCTGTTGCCGCCGTACGGCTGTACTCGGGCTATTCAGTTAGCTCGGCGGCAAAGCCCGGCCAAGCCTTGCGGTGCCGAGCCTTGCGAGGTATGCGCCGGGAGTAGCAACTCTGCATTCCGCGGCGTTGCGGCGAGGTGCCGAGCTAGTGCTACGGGCTGCTGCTACCTGCTCGGAATGTATCGGCCGGGTCGGCGCATCGCCGCGGTCTCTCTCTCTCTCTCTCTCTCACTCCCTCACTCAGAGTGAGTCGTTCTCTCTCACTCTTGCCCTCTCGCAGCGCTTTACTGCGGCCATCCCGGCGCTGCCACCGCGGGCAGCACGCTAACGTGCGCAGTGCGCGGTGACGGCGTGCGTGACGGCGTGCGTGACGGCGTGCGGGACGGCCTCGCGGACGGACTGCAGCACCTCGAGCGTCGCAGCGTCGCTCTCAGGCGGCTCAAACTGCGCCGCGATGAGCGAGTTTTCACCCGCAAGTTGGCGGGGTGGCTGGGGCGCGGCGGGGAGGCCGGGTGCGACTCGCGCCACTCCGCCGCACACCTCGCCCGCCTTCTCCTGTTACCGGCGCGCCCCGCCTCGCCCCGCCCAGACCCTCGCCGCCACCTGAGCCGCCCGGCCCGGCCCCTAATGGAAGCACTCCGTTCGGAAACGGCCGCGACCTCCGCGAACCCCGCGAGCCTCGTGAGCCTCGTCAGATTGGCGCAGGACGGCGCGGAGCCCCGGCAGGATGTTGTTACCGTTTCCGAGATGACCCCCTTCTTGACGGGGCGCTGGAATTTCCCCCCCGGGCCGCGCCGCTTGGCAGGCAGGCCAGGCAGGCCAGGCATCCGGGTGGAGATGCTCCAGGCTTTCCGGGTGCACCGGGGCCACCGAGGCCACCGAGGCCGCCGCCCCTCCCTTTACAACGCGATGAGCCCGACGGCGTGGCGGTCCGTGAGCGAAGGTGTAACGCCTGTAACGCCGAAGCACGGCAGCACGCCAAGGGCGTGCAGTGCCGGTGAATTAATGGCAGAGTCCGCGGGCAAGAAGTGGTACTAGCGGGCCTGCTGCGGGCCGGGGCGGGGCGGCCGGGGCCGCGGCGTCCCTCGGGTCACTGTGCGTGGCGCCCGCCCCCGCCCGCCCCCGTCCCTCCCGGAAGGCTAGTGGTGTCGTAAATCATGGTGCTGAAGCTCCAGGAGACTGTGTCCGAGGCTGTGCACAGTGCCTGCCCGCTCCGCCCGCCCCGCCGGCCTGCTCAAGGCGGGGGGTGGCGCGCCGTGGCGGTGGCAGTCCCCCCCTGCGTGTGTTTTTCCTCTCAGCTCTCGCTCGCGCTCGGCGGCTCTCTGGCCGAGAAAGCGCCTTGCCTTCATTCCGTATGGGCCGCGCGGGCCGAGCGCTGGGGCCTGGGGCCTGCCCTGGGGCCTGCCTGCCCGGGGCACGAGGGCCAGCCCGCCCGCCCGGGCCTTCCGAGTTCCGACAGCGCGCTTCCGTCGGCCTCATTACGAACCCCTGATCATTTCAATCGGAGGGAGATCGATCAATCGCGGAGTCCATGCATCAGCGTCACAGACAGACAGACAGACAGACAGACAGACAGACAGACAGACAGACAGACAGACAGACAGACGGACAGACAGACAGATAGACAGAGGCGCTAGTGGCTCCCGACCGCCCTCAGCAGCGCTGGACAAAAACCAAACTCTAATACCTCCGTCTGATGATTAATAGTGGAGGAGATGCCCGCAAGAGGTTGCTACTCGGTCTTCGTGTGTGTGAGTGTGTGTGTGTGTGAGGACGGGGGGCGGTCTGTCTGTCTGTCTATGTTGACACCCAGCCGACTGGGTGGCCACTTCTCTTTCTGTCTTTCTTTCTTTTCGGTCTCATCGAAAGCGATCACCCTTCCGCAGAAGTGGGGCAGGAAAAAAAATGGGGCGAAAAGAAGCGAGTAATCAATCATTGGCTCGGTGGCGTCGCGTGTCCTGGACGACGTCCTGGACGACGTCCTGGACGTCCTGTCCGAACGGCCCCGGCTGACGCCTTGTTCCTCTGCTTGCAGACGTGCTACGAGATGGAGAAGTGGCTCAAGGACGAGCCCAAGCACCACCAGGTGAAGAAGGAGAAGGAGGCGGCCGCCGCCGACGCCACCTGGTCCATCCTGGGCATCGGGGCGGGGCCCCTCAACCTGGACAACCTGCACCTGGACGCCATCAGCACGGCGTCGTCGGCGTGCTCGTGGGAGAGCGCCGTGTCCTGCCAGGTCGGTGCTCCAAGCGATATTGCCTTCTTCTTTCGTTTTTTTGCCCTCCGCCACTTTCACTTACCCCGACCTTTTTTGTCGCGCAGGTGCGGGTGGTGAAGAAGGAGCCGGTCGAGGAGATCGAAGAGGGCGAGGACGACGACGATGACGAAGACGACGACGAGCCCGAGGACGTCGAGGACGAGGATGAGGACGACGACGAGGAGGTGGACGACGACGAAGACGACGAGGACGACTTCGACGACGACCTCATGTACGACCAGCGGGAGCAGCTGGAGCTGCGGCTGGTGGCGCGGACGGCGGTTGCGGGGCGGGCGGGCGGCCAGGGCGGCCTCCCTACGCTGACGCCGCCGTCGAGCCCCGAGTCGGGCCAGGGCCACCACAGCGACTCGAGCACGGGCAGCAGCTCGTCCACCTCCGTCAAGCGGGAAGGCCTGCTGAGGGTGGCGGGCCCCAACGTGGGCCGCCGGCACCTCGGCGTGGCGGCCCGGCTCATCACCACGTACCACCACCACCACCACCAGTACCACCACATCCACTCGGCCTCGGACGAGTCCCTGTCCGAGGCCGTCACCACCACCCGGCTGCTGGGCTCCGCCAGGCACGCCGAGTCGGCCAAGCGCCGCATCCACAAGTGCGCCTTCCCCGGCTGCAAGAAGGTGTACACCAAGAGCTCGCACCTCAAGGCGCACCAACGGACGCACACAGGTGAGTCTCTCTCTCTCTCGTTGACACGCAGTGGAACAGGTGCACCGAATTGCATCCGCATCCATCAAAGTTTTTATGGTTTCCAATCCGCGCCTGTACCTGTATCCCGTATTTGTACCTCGTAACCGGCGCGCGCCGCCCCGCGCCACCCCTCGCCGCATCTACATAAGACCCCCCGCTCCCGCCGGATTCCATTTGGTATTCACTTTATGAGCTTTATACCCTTGTGCCATCAAAACAGCAGCGCGCTGCGTTTCGCTTTTTCCTGAGAGGAGCCTTAAGTCTGCGCCCCGGCGTCCCTAGCCAGGCCAAGGGCCGGGCCGGCCGGGCAGGTCCAGTCCTCTTAATAGTTGATGCCGTTTGGCCGGGCCCACTGGCTGGCTGGCTGACTGGCTGGCTGACTGACTGGCTGGCTGACTGGCTGGCTGGCTGACTGGCTGGCTGGCTGGCTGGCTGGCTGGCTAGTTGTGGATGAACCCAAAAACCCGAATCTGCGTCCGGGCCGCGCCACGTGTTCGCCCCTTTTTATTCCCCGCCCGTTTTTGGGCTTTTAGTTGGCCGCTATCGGTGGGCCGTTTGAGGGCAAAGGCCCCGGAGGGCGAAGCGGGGACGCTGCTCCGCTGCCACGCTGCAGGAGGTCGTAAAGAGTGCCAGGTACACCCCGCCGCCCGGGCCGAGCCGAGCCGCACCGCCTCAATATCGCAAATTGGGCGAATAATAAAATGGCGCCGATCATATACAAACGAAAGGGCCGCCATCCAGGCGGGCTGGCGGTCCTCGCTGGCGGTGTCGCCGTCCTTCCCTCGCCTCGGCCTGGGCCTCGGCTTGGGCCCCGGCCTTCGCACTGCAGTGGCAGGCCCGAACGCGGACAATCCCTTTCCGGCCTGCAAAGTTATTTTGTCGGCGGCCCGGGCCTCGGCCTCGGCCAATCCCTGGAAAAGACAGGCCGGAATGGAGAGCCGCCACGACGCGCCACGCTCAGCCTCGCTCAGCCTCGCGCACCCAGCCAGGTGGAGGAGGGCGCACCGAAACACGCCGCGCGGCACGGCACGGCACGCGGCACGGGGGACGCCACAATAAAAAGTGCCCGAGCAGTGCGTTGCTTGTGTTTTACGGCCGGGGTGGGTGCAGAGTGCACTCCAACACTCCGGCAGTGGGGCACGCCGGGCACGCCGGGCACGCCATGCTACAGTGGGAAGAAGGGTCCAAGACGCCACGGCCCGCTCCACCCGCTCGCAGACTGCTTCCGAACAGTGGCCCTGCATCTCCCGCCGCGCTCTAGGGGCGTCCCGTAAGGGTGCGAGAGAGACAGCGGCGGCCGCCCCTCCCTTCTGGAATATTTAACTCCCGGAAATGAATTCAGTGCGCGGCGCGTTTCGCCCGGTTTCGCCTGCACCGCTCACTCAGAGTGGTCACTGCCACAAAGGCACGGCGGCGGAGGGATCGTGGCCGCGCCGCCGCGCTGCTGCTGCGGGGCTCAAAGAAGCTGCCGAGGCTTGCCAAGGCCTGGCGGAGCTTGCGAAGCTAGGCGGACTCGGATTCCAAGGGAGGCAACCCTACAGCGCGTGTCACGCCGGTGTAGAGTTGCCACCCTGCAGCAGCGCAGCAGTGCGGTGCGGCGCGCCAGGCCGCCAGGCGCGCTCGGGTTGCGTCACGCGCCGTGTAAGGGGGCCGTGCCTCACAGTGCCGCGCACTCTCTCACTTGCAAACGGGCCCGGTCTTTGGGAAATACAACCCCGCCGCGCCCCACCCCGATATGAAATACGCGTCGGGATGAAAATGCAAAACGCCAAGATGAACGGTCCGACCCGACTGGCCTCGCGGCATAGGCCGCTGGAGTCCCGGGCCGCCTTGCCCTGGACTTGGACCCCAATCCCGGATCCCCAAGGGGGCCCTCTGCGGCCCCGCCGGGGCTCCGCTCCGCTCCCAGCGCGCGCCCAGCCCGCCAAGCAGCCAGCCAGCCGGCCATTGCAGCCTGATAGTGTATGGCGATGTAATGGCAATTTACCAGCTGCCGACATGCATTCCGCGGCCAAAGCTTGTTGAGCGTTATGGCCGTGTCGGAAGATTTACATCTCGCGGGAAGGCTTCATAGGGCGATTTTATTTGATATATTCCCTCGGCTCGGCGGCGAGGCTAGGCCGCCGGGGCTAGGCCGTGCCGGCTAGGCTGCAGACCCAAATCACACCACGCGTCGCCAAGGAGTGCCGCTGCGAGGATTGTGGCGGGCCGCCGCGGCCGACCGAGCGGGCCCAGCGCGGCCGGGGTGGGCCTGGGGCGGCCCGGGGCCCCAGTGCTTTGTGGCGAGGCGCCTAGAGGGTGTCGGCAATAAATTTACGGATTGTGCGCGCTTCCGCTGTTTATTAAAGAAAGGTCCGCGCGTCAATGGCTGGGGGAGCGGAGCGCTGCTGACTGCGGCGAAATGTTATTTTGACAACTTTTGATGTCCGCCATTGTGCGACCGAATCATCATCCGCCGCCCCTGCCGTCCGTCCCCCTTCGAGGCCGCCGCGTTCATCGTCGCGGTGACCGAACACGCGGCTCCCGAATCGCCTTGAGTTGCGGTGCCCCGTAAAGGCGAATGCGCCCCGTAAATATGTTTATGCTCTATCCCGCGCACCTGACGGCGCGGGGCGGGGCGGGGCGGGGTGGGGTTGGCGGAGCGCCCCGCTGAGACGAGCGGATTGGCGTATTGGAGTTTTGCGGCGCGCGGCGCGCGCGGCATTCACGCGCCCCTCCGAGTTCCCCTCAATGAAGCCCGAGCACGGACAAAGCGCGCGCCGCCGGGGCGGTAATTTCCGGCACCCAAGACGACGACGGCGACGACGCCAACAACGGCGCTGTTGTCTCAAAGCAGTTTAGATGAACACGTCAACAACAACAACAACAAGGTTTATTGACCGGCGATTTGGTTTTGTGTTTCAGGAGAGAAGCCGTACCGGTGCTCCTGGGACGGGTGCGAGTGGCGGTTCGCGCGGTCGGACGAGTTGACCCGCCACTACCGCAAGCACACGGGCGCCAAGCCGTTCAAGTGCGCGCAGTGCGAGCGCTGCTTCTCCCGCTCGGACCACCTGGCCCTGCACATGAAGCGGCACGCGTGAGGTGGAGTGCTGCTTTCAGAGGAAAACAAAAAAATTATAAAAAATGAATCGTACAAAAACCTGTGATATAAACAAACGGTACCCTGTGGCCGCGGTGGCCGTGCGGTGGGACTGCTGCGAGTGATGCTGGTAACTATGGAGGCTGCTTGTGATCGTTTCCTACTGGAGTACAATAGTTTTTAAGTTTTAGTGGAATACTCGTTCAGTGCTTCACCCGGCAGGGCGCGCTTCCAAAGAGTGCCTGCGCGGGGCACTCTTCCTTGGTTACTGGTTTGTCAGACAAATGCCTAGGCCAGTCATGTAGATTGTTTATTTTATCTCATGCCCTTCTTCCTGGTGGTTATGCTTGTATGCGTCGAACCGTCGTGGCATGTTTTGTTCGTCTTTCTAGTAAATTTTCCCTTCTCTTACCTGTTTGATTCCCTGAACCTTCGGGTTCGAAACGTTGGAGTTGCCGACGCTCCGTTAACTTTTATCGTCTTACGTGGCATTTTCTCTGTTTTACTCTACTTGGTGTGACGTATAGCTAATTTTTAGAAAATCGATTTTGTCTCTGAAAACCTGTTAAATTTGTAAACCATTTCTAAGTCATTTCAGTAATTGCTAGGGAATTTCGTTATCTTTGCGCGCTCATTGCAGCTTTACTGAGCCAGTGAGAGGAGCGATTGTTTTTTCGGATCAGTAGTTATGTCAGGTTGTGAGTGGCGATCCGTTGAAAACCAAGTAGTGTTTAAAGTGTTAGCTTTTAATATCACTCCAGTGGGCATGCAACGCGCTCCATTTATCTGCCGAGTGATAATGGTTACCAGTAATTTTAATGTAATGTATTATAAGTTTGAGCGATTTTGAGCATTCAGGACCAGAATGTGGCAATCAGCCCAGGCTAAGGAACTACGTACAAGGCATATGAGGTGATATTCGTCATTTTAATATATTCTTTACTTTTCAGAGTGTATTGAACCCTATAACCAAAAGGTACATATAGCGGTGAAGCATCTCTCGTGATTATAGGTACCTTTAAAGCCATGTGCATCAGATCTTAAAGAGAATATATCATCGTGATGGACTAAGTATACTATCACCTCGTATGTCAAGCTTTGTTGTTAAGATGAGATTTGAACTAAATTCAAGTGAATTGATTTAAAAGCCAAAAACACGTGAACACTGCCAAGTTGTTTGTTTATAATTTACTTTGTTGATATTAATTATTGTATGGAGGCTTTACTTGTACCTGTCCGGAATATACCAAAACGCCGGTTCGAACGCATGGCCTCAATTCTCAATCTTGCGTTTGTGCGTTTTGCAACCTTACTCTCCAGGACAGGAATTTGGGACCAGTTCAATCAGTTTTCATCGTCAGTTCTGAATTGCTAATAAGCAACTGTCATTCTTTAGACCTCTCTTTATCCTTGCAAAAGAGATAATTGTACAATTCCAATCCACATTGTCCACGCCTGTTATGCTGTCAGTGCAACACTTCCGACTTTCAGTTCCTACGTGTTTTTCGTGTGCCATACATGTTCTCCATCTCATCGTTTGTGATTCCAAAGGTAAAATTTAATGCCACAAGCTTTTTTTCGCGTGTAATATGGCTGACATTAAGTTTGAATCCGCTTATAGTTTTATTTTAAAAAAAGCAATCGTTTGAGCTGTTTTGTTTAATTTTATGTTATTTGCAAAGAATTTATTTGCGGGAGGGGGCGGGGGGCAGTGAGTGGTTTCGTCTGCTCCATGGGCGGTCGAGGTCCAGTAAGTTGATTGACTTTTCTGAAACTCTAAAGTGTAGGGTGGCCGTTTTGTCGTAAGTGCGCTGTCCCGGGGATGAAACCGATGGTGCCCTCGAGGGTGGCACACTGGCTGGCACGCTGGCAGCCTTGGTTGTCGGCCTGTATCCGGGACAGCTTGGTTACGAAGAAGCGCGGGGTTCGCACGCCACTCTACATTGTTTAAATTTTTTCTTTATGAACTTTCTACTACCTGCTAGTGCAATGCCTCTTTGGGTAATATCGGGAGGATTTGCAGTGTATAAAAATGAATGTATCTTCCATTCAAGACCGGTGGCCAAAGTTAATATCTACGCACGGGTGCACTTGCTAGCTCAGAAATTTAATTTGTTGAATATTTTTAAAACTTTATGCTTAGTCGTGAGATCTCAGCTATGAAAAGCTAGGGCATTCTTCTGTTATTTTTGTGTTTCGTTTTTGCAAATATTCTATCTTTTCGTTAATTATGAAATGGAAGCTATATATGCACTAAGTAAATTAAATTATATCGTTAAGTTAAATTGCAAATTGTTTATAGATTATTGTTTAACGCAAATCGAATTCCAGCTTTGGGTTCCTGATCAACTATTGTGTCATAAATAATTTCATTAGGAGTATATAGGGTGTTTCCCACTACCTGTGATCAACGTTTTAAAGTAAATTTCGGAAACACCCTTTTTATGTGGTAATTGTAAGTTGATTATGTAAAGAAACCGTGGCAATGATGAACATGTTGTGATCTAGAAAATTGCATTCATATGAAATCTGTGTTTGGCGTCTTCTTAGTCACATTAAGAAGTAATACATATGGCATAGGTTGCTTTATCGTAAATGTTCTGGACGTTTCTACTCAGTGCCGACTCTTTGTCGCGTGAACCATAAACCTCCGTGTTACTTGATTTTACTCAGTAGACTATTCATGAATTGTGGAGCAATTTGATGACCAGTTTACTTTTAAAGTAAATATGCAAACTTTGAAACCATGACTTCTGTTCAGTAGACTTTTGTCTGATAACCTGAGATACCCACTATACATTTGTGTTCCATTCCTTCATTCAGTTCAGACTGTTTCTCATCAGTAAAATTTGTCATATTGATCAGTTTTCTTCCAGTCATTCCTCATTCATGTTGTGCCTTTCATCGTTTGTTATGGATGCATGTATCAGTGTAAGTCAAAATGTTCAATGTGAAGATTTGTTAATTTAAAAATAAGTAGATTTTGTATTTCTAGCGTTTTGTACAGGTGGACTTTGTACTGTATAAGTTTTGAAATATAGTTAAGAGAAATCTATCATCCTTAATTTAGGTGTATATTTTGTGTATGACGCAGAAAGTGAATAAAAAATGTCGAAATATTTTTAAAAACTCGAGAAAACAAGTTTATGAGTCTGAAGAAAGAAAACCTGTACAAATGATGATCGTTGGTATAAAAGTCAAATGCTTCGTGTCATTTTTTGTATAACAAATATTTAGCTGTTATCTGATCAATAAAAATATTGAACAACTAACGCCTTCATGCCTCTCCTTTTTTTTATCCTGCTGAAACAACCGATTTTCCCACACATCCGCAGACACACACAGATACAAATACAGGCACGCAAAATCCGAATGGACACATTAGAAGAAGCCGCTTGCTTACACGGACGCAGCGAGTTTGGAATGGGATTAGCCCCTGCAAGCGCGGTGGGGCGTGGCGGGGCGGGGCGGGGCGGGGCGGGGCGGGACGCTGGCTGCGCTGCGCGGAGACACACGGCTAAGTGGATTATGACAAGCCATTCACGCGATAACACCGGCAGCGGGATTACGGGCAACACAGTGTCGCTGACAGCGCGCCCAATCGACGCAGACAGACGCGCAGCGCAAGCACCGCGCGCGACGCGCCAGGCCGTGCTGCGTGCCGCTCGCAGGTGAAGCGGCGTGCACTCGCGCATGCCAGGCGCCGCTCCGCTCGCGACAACGAGACGACGACGACGCTGTGCGCGCAGGGCCGGGGACGCCTGTTAATGGGTGCTTCAACTTTCTGCTCATGTTATTTAGCGCGACACTGCACGGCTGCATCCCCATTCATTACAGTCGCCAAAGAGCGGACCTGTGTTATCGCTGCCAAAAGGATTGTGATATACGGCGGGGCGCTATGCCAAGGCTGGCCAGGGCCGCGGGGACGCCGCGACAAGGCGGGAGTGCGTGGGGCTGGTCGGCCGGCCCTCCGCGGGGAGCCCAAGCAAGCCCTCACGACCCGCGCAGCCGGGCCGGCCTTGTTTTAAAACGCCTCCACGCCCCCGCAACAACCCGGCACGCCCCGCCCTGGGCCTGGCTGGCCGTGCCGGGGAGGGGGAGGGTGCGCAAGCACGGGGCGGCAGTGCTGCGGACACCACCGCAGGCCCCCGCAGACCGCAGGTACGAAGAGAGGGGAGGCGCGGGGCTGGGCAAGAACAAAACGCCGCTTGCCCCTACATCGCCACACCGGGCGTTGGCGCGGCGTGGCGGGGCGGGCACGCGCTAATTCCAAGGGGTAAACAGGCGAGGAATCCAAGAAAAGGCCACTCAACTTGTTCCTCCTAAATAAATTAGCACTCAATCAAATAAAGAGAAGTTAAATTGGCTGCAAAGCGGCCTTCCATTGTGGTGTGCGTTGTATTGCGCAGAGCGGCAGAGCGTGCCGGAGGGAGCGCAAATTGATGTATAGCCTTTCTGGCGCCACTTATCACCTCCCGGCAACCACACCTCGAGCGGATCTCGCAAGGCGCCGCGGCGAGAGTGAAAACGGCGGGGGAGGGGGGGGGGGAGGATCGCCTGTGATTTATGCTGGAATATGAGTCCCTACTAATTTACCGGCATCCCCGCGCCAAAACAAGAACAAGGCCCTCGCCCCGCCGTGCCCGCCCCTCGGCCGGTCCGGCTCGGTTAGTGTGTAGGCCGGCGGCTTTACTCCCCGACTCCAGTCTCTGTCTCTCCATCGCGCATCCCCCACGGGTGCGAGAGAGACAGAATCATCCTGCGGGCCAGTCCTCGTCGTGTGTCCCGGCCAGCACGGCCGGCACGACCAGCCGCACTGCAGTGGCGCCGAGGCGTTGCAACAAAGTAGAGTGACGACCCCCGCTGCTGCTGCCGCTGCGCTGCGACCCGTGCGGGGAAAAGACCGCCGCGGTGCCAGTTAACGCCGGACTCGGAGGACTCGACGCGGCGCGGCACGGTGTGGCGCGGCACGGTGTGGCGCGGCACGGTGTGGCGCGGCACGGTGTGGCGCGGCACGGTGTGGCGCGGCACGGTGTGGCGCGGCACGGTGTGGCGCGGCACGGTGTGGCGCGGCACGGTGTGGCGCGGCACGGTGTGGCGCGGCACGGTGTGGCGCGGCACGGTGTGGCGCGGCACGGTGTGGCGCGAGCACGTCCACGGCGATGCGCCAGCCATGCGCCAGCCAGGCGGCCACGTCGCCGTGGAGCACAATAACGCCGTGGAGTTGTTGGACCGCACCCAGCGCCCACACCGTCAGAAAAGGGGCTCGGCGAACTGAGAAGAAGAGCGGCCAGCCCACCACGCCACAAAGTGGGCCACAAGGCTGGTGGAGGCGGGAAAAATCCCGGACGCGTTTTTAGCTCCAGAGTCGCTAAATGGGACTCGAACCGAACGTGCGACCCCATCAATGGATAGCTCTCCGAACGAAGAATCCATTGGTGGGGTCACACGTCGGTTTCGAGTCCTGTTAAGCGACTCTGGAGCTCAAATCGCGTCTCGAGTTCGGGCCGCCTCCACCGGTCAGCCTGCAGCTTAGGCCAGCCCGCCACGCAGCCGTGCGTCGCATTGCCTACCCCGCTGTCTGCAGGCGCTGGCCGGGGACGCACCGCCCGGCCCGGCGGCGGCGCGGCGGGCTGGAAAAAGGAGAGGGCCCCCCTCCTCCCTCCCACTGGAATATGTCAGTGGGTCACGTGACGTGAGGCATCGGAGGGGCCCGGCGGGCCGCCGAACGCAGCCCGGGCCCGGGCGGGCGGGCTGGGCTGCTTCGAACAAACAGCACCGTCGGCCGTGCAAAAACGGCGTTTAGTCAAGGCGGCCGGGCGGGCCGGCAGGACGGCCAGGCAGGACGGCCAGGCAGGGCGACAGGATACAAATGGAGGGAGGCATCCCGAGCACAGGCTGACGAATGGCCAGCCTGCTTCCGGTTCGCTCCTGTTGTTGTTGTTGTTCCCGTTGCTTCGGATTTACAACAATTTCGATGTAAGCAACGAACGCGCCATTAGTCCCTCGGGCAGCACATTACACGCCTCCGGTGGGGCGCGGCGGCACGGCCATGTAAAATATTAACGAGATGCCTGTCGGAATTTTGTTTTCATGTACGGCGGAGTTAGAAAAGAAAACTTTCGTTTAACTTTTCGTGAAGGGTGCTGAGCGCAGTTAGGGCGAGTGACAGTGTCATGTCGCGAACACGGGCACAGACGGCCCTTGATTGGCCATAGCCGTAAGGGGTCGTCCACATATTACGTAATCACCTAAGGGGGAGGGGGAGGTATAGCTGAGGCTTACGCTTGATTACAGAGGGGAGAGGGGGGTGACCGTTTTGATTACGTAATCATTTTTTAGTCACTTTATGCAATTTCGTTGATCTAAACATATACGGAAATACTGCAGTACACCGACACCAATCGCACTTTCCCATCCTCCAATAGACACATTGACGATTATGCGCATTTATCATTTCGCTAAGAAGCTCTTTTGTCTTGTTTTAGGAGTTTCATAAAAAGAATGAAAATCTTCCCATTAATGTGAACAATCGTCAATACTGTAAAAGCGAATAAAATGGAAAACCCCTGATATTCTTTTCAGTGATCGTTTGCAGACAAGATACACACAAGTTCGGGTGCCGGCAAAGAAGGTTTTACTAGGTCACCGCTCGGCAGCATCATCGATCATGGGAAATAATTTCAGGACTGGTCGTCCTCACTACTGCATGGTAAAAACGGTTTCTGGATTGCCCAGGAACTCCCTGGAAATCGATTCAGTCTCGCCCATAGGCTTAAATTATTACTTTTTTTGTCACTCGTACCGTGTTTGGGAACATATATAACCGCTAGATCTGGTCCTCTCATTTAAAAAAAATTGTGGATTACGTAATCTTCCGTTGGGGGGGGAGGGGGTCGGACCGTTGATTACGTTTGATTACAATGGGGAGGGGGAGGTCAAAAATCCAAAAATCGTGATTACGTAATATGTGGACGACCCCTAACACGGGCAGTACCTTAGCAGCGCGCACAGACGCACTACAGGGCACACTGACACATGCGCGCGGCCTCGTGCGGGAAGCACGCCGCGAGTGCCATAAAAGAGCGTTTCTGCGGCGTGGATTTGAGCTGCCCGTCGACCTTGTTGACCTTGTTGGCGGGGAATCAATCGGCAGGTGCACGACGACGACGCGGAGGGGAAGGGCGGGCCGTGGCCGGGCGGCCCCCCACAGTGTGGCGACGCGGCGCTCGCGTGCTGCTTGCCGAACTCGACCGCGCCGACCGCCACACCACTCATCTGGATCTTGACGGCATCCGGCGCGGCGGCGGGGGAAAAGTTTGGCCCGCCCCCTTCTGGCCTTTTGGGCGAGCAACATCGGCACAACTTCTCGCTGCTGCCGCTGCCGCCGCGTGGTCAAGAGCGGTCCGCCGCCCGGCCCAGCCCCAGCCAGCGGCCTCGCCAGCGGCCTCGCCAGCGGCGGCCCCTCACGTCCCCTTGACGAAAAATCAAAGTTTGCTTCGGGCCGTACCCTCGCCGCCTTGCTCGCCGACACGGCCCGGCCGACGGGCGTCCCGGCCAGACCACAGCCGGCAAGGGATGCGCTCCCTCCCCTCCCTCCGCTTTACTTTGCTAAGAACGAACGCACCCTCCGGCCGGCCACGGCCGGCTCTGATTTCGGCTCCCTTCGCACCTTCCCCGCCACACGGGCTGCCTGCCTGCCCGCCTGGCCGCCCGGCTGTCTGCCCGCCGCTCTATGACGTAATTGGTTTAACTGGTTCGGCCGGCTACTCGCCGTATTTGCACGCTAATTAGACACAGCCACTGCCGAGGCCGAGAGGCCAACCGGGCAGCAGCACCAGGCCGACCAGGCCGCCCCAGGCGGACACGCTCACCAGGAGGACACTTCGGGAACTTCCGGTGTAGCCTCTCTCTCGCACAGGCTGTCGGCGTCCGGCGTGCCTGTCTGGCGGAAGCACCGTGGTGAAGCGTCATGAAGCGTGGTGAAGCGTGGTGAAGCGTGGTGAAGCGTCATGAAGCGTAGTGAAGTGAACGTGAATCTATCTACCAGCTGGGGGGTGAAGCGTTTTGATTCTATCTGGATCGCAGCGGCGAGGTCGGGGTGTTATCGCGATACCTGCGCGCGGAGCGGCGGGGAGCGGCGGTATAGGGTGCGACGGGTTGCTGCGGGGTGGCTTTTGGTATTATTCTGCACAAGGGCGCTTCGCTGCGGCCGGCCGCCAACTTTGGCTTGTCGAATGTTTCACTGGTCCACTGTGACGTGACGGTGCTT